CATTGTTGGATGACAGTGCACAGTGTTGTAAATCTAATTATATTATTCATGATGCTGAGTCATGGTGTTGCTGTGTGTGCTGATGCTATCAAATTGTTACTGAATTGTGCATAGAGAAAGTTCAATTTAAGTAAAATGGCTGATCATTTTAAAATTCCAGCTGTCATTAGAAGATTAAAGAAGGTATTAAAATGTGTGTGACTAGTTTTAGGATGTCCATTGTCCCCTCTCCATCCCATGCAGGAGGAAGATCAGATAAAGAATGAGCCACCTGTTGGCTGTCATGCTGAATCAGTCTCAGAAAATTGTAAGCCGACCATGAAGAATACGTCTATATACTTATTGATGTATTGCTTTTAGATGGAACATGGAAAGCAACAATACTAGGACCTGAAGGTACAATATATGTGATATAATTATGGAGTATATCTTTAATTATTTCTCTTTGTTAACAGGGACACCTTATGAGAATGGTCTCTTCTACTTAAAAATGGAAATTCATGAAGAATATCCCTTTAAACCACCAAAAGTATGTACATGAACTCTGTATGTACACCCATCCTCCCCCTCCCTCTCTCAAAGGTGTGGTTCACTACTAAGATATATCATGTGAATGTTGATTCTGATGGCTGGATTAGTTTAGATATACTCAATGATGGGTGGAGTCCAGCCTTAAAAATATCGAAAAGTACAACAATCATTATCCAATAATACCAGCCTCCATTACTTACTGTATATACCATACATTGCAGTTCTAAGTACAGTGAGATCATTACTGGTTGACCCTGATCCAGACTGGGCTGTTGGTGGTGAAGTGTATGCAGCATTCACTAAGAATCGTTCACAGTATGATGAAACTGCTAAAGAATGGACACAGAAACACGCAATGGACTAATTCAATGGATTATTGACAAAATAAAATATTTAGATAATTATGATTCTGTTTATTTTTTAACTTATTTAATATGCAATAGAGCCAGTTTCTTTTTTAGCATATTGCATGGTTCATGAGGTTTTTCAGGATGTACCCAGGAATTTGGAAACTTAAAAAATTTGTAAAAAATTCGATTTTGATTGGAATGAGCTCAAACTTTCTACGCAGCATAAGTGCATGTATATGTATCAGAAAATGTAATAAAAATAAAGAATTCTTTCCTCTTCATTTTTGGCAAAATTTGGTCTGTGACCCTGTACTATAGTACAGGGACTTTTGGCCCAATTTTAGAGCAACTTAAAAGGTTTGTAAAAAATTCAATTTCAATCAGAATGAGCTCAAACTTTCTACGCAACATAAGTACATGTATATGTATCAGAAAATGTAATAAAAATGGAGAATTCTTTCCCCTTCATTTTTGGTAAAATTTAGTTTGTGATCTTGGCCCGATTTTAGAGCAACTTAAAAGGTTGTAAAAAAATCCAATTTTGATCGGAATGAGCTCAAACTTTCTACACATACAACATAAGTGTATATGTATATGCATCTGAAAATGTAATAAAGCACTATGCCAAAATCCTGCAGGAAAATTTTATAACATACTTGTGTTGTTGATTGTAGATCTAGTACTGAATCAGCTTCTGATCTGATTTCAATGATTTGAGATCAATTGAACTCAGGCCTCTAAAAGGAGAGAGATTCACTGAGCATTAAATAAGTAAATAATTCAATAGTATAATTATAATAATTATTATAAGTATTGTACTACTTAGTCTTTGATTTATCTCTCGGTTCTGCTCCTATTAGCATTCATAATCTTCTCTAGCTATCAATAGGTGTGATTATTCATTAATCTAGGGCGTGGCAGATCTCTTTGCTGCGCTGCAGCATCTACAGTTGACGCCCTGTTTGGTTTGTTATGCTCATGAAAATGAGTTTGCTGAGTGTTCTGGCCTCCTTCTTGACACTGATCTACGTTGCTAATGCTCAAGGTAAGAGCTTGAAGTATACAAGCATGAGCTTAATATTGCATGCATCTTAAGCACCTTTGTATTGTAACTACTACCTTGTTATAACCTGCACTGCTGCAGTTTACTGAGCCTCCTCTATGAAGGCTATATGCCTGTATCATATTCATGTCATATTTGCTATAGGACGTGGAACAGTTAGACTCTACAGCAACAACTCCACCTCATCAACACTAACTGCTGGAATAGTCCAGATATACTATGGTCATTCCACTGGTACAAACACATGGGGTAATATCTGTGAGGACGATTCATTTGGTCACAACGAAGCTGATGTCATTTGTAACCAGTTGGGATATGACGGAGCTTCAACTTTTGGCAAAGCAGGAAGCACAGCAATGTAGCTTAGTTAACAAATCCATCAACTTGTTATGAAGTATTGATCCTTTCCATACAGGTATGGGACTGATTCCCTTGACACAATTATTGATGATGTTACCTGTTCTGATGATGATTTTTTAACACTCCAACAGTGTAGCTTTGATACTACAATCTCAAGTACATGTGGTGATTCTAATGATGCCTTTGTTGTCTGCTGTAAGTGCTATCAAACTGGTAACCAGCTAATACTTATATTCACAGAT